GTCCATGCTCTCTGCCGCACCCTGTATATACTTGAGTGCAAATACATTTTTACTTCCCACGCCCCACGCCTACTGGCGGGGAAGTATTGTAATCGTGAAATATTTCGAAAATGATGTGTTTTTTGGATGTATTGCACCAAAAACCATGTCACTTATTTCTATCGGTCTGTCTGTCTGTCGGTCTGTCCGCTAATTTTTATAACCTCCTATAACTTGAGAAGTACCGCTCGGATTTTGATGAAATTGAAAAAGCTTTATATAAAAATCACACCGTTTTTTTTTTGTAGGGGATGAAACTTGGGAGGTGGAGGTCGAAGGGGGTAGAGGGTTATAAATGTAACATCTTTAGTTTTAATCAAAGACGTTCTATCATTAAGAAGTCCGATGTAATTCAAAATAACTTTGGAATCTTTGGCGTTGCGTCCACTGCCGACTGTGCCAATGGGTTACAAACTTCAACTGGTCTGCAGTGGTGTCGTCACTGACAAACCTCTACAGGAGAAATATTCATATAGTTTATCAATATTTAGATATTAGGAGTACGTACCGCTTTAGCGTTCTGCGATGCTTTTTTTAAATGATGACTTGACTGTTTCTATATCGACACATACGGTGAGGTTCAAATTTGGCTGACGTCGCAACGTGTATGAGAGAGAAGCTCGATAAGCGTGTGATATGTATGTTAGAAAGAGACTGAAACACCTCGTTGCCTAGCAACTCGAGTACGAGGTCACGGAAGCTATTGGCGCACTCTTTCGAACATACATCACGCACGCTTATTGTGCCTCTCTCTCGTACTCATTACAGAGCGTCAGTGTATAATAGTTCTCTGAATAATTCGTCAAGTAGATTGACTCAGTACTTATGACGCATTGATATACAACAGACGCGGACGGACAAATCGACGTAAATGTCCGGACTTGTAAGATGCAGATATCTTTCCAACAGAAAACTTGTGAAGCGAAGTTCGAATATTATCCCAAGTTTAATACTTCCAATTCCAGGTTTAGGTAGTCTTAAAATTGATTCAGGGGAGGCGGAAATAAAATAGCTGAAACATAGTGTTACAAGGTTTCATAGATTTCTGCTCATTTTCAGACATTGTTTGGAGGCGATGAAAACTGTAGGTTGGAAGCTGTATGTCGTAAACGGTTGGAAATTGTTGCATATTAAGTGTCAGTAAAAGACCTTCTATTATTAAAACAAAAATCGGGCACTGCACCAAACTGGTTGTCCAACTTATATAAACCATTCTCAGTAGATTCAAATACCACCATTAAAACATTTAGGAAGTGTCCTCTATCTCTATCAACGTCAGGCAAGGAGGCAACTTTTCATTTGACGGAACTGTCATTTTATTAGCCTGTAAAGAAACTGCCGCACCTTTCCTACTATTATTTATTTTCTGTTTATTTTTGCCCAAGTCGCACTTTTCACCTCCCGTCTGGTTACAATAAAGCTGGCAAACTGCTTTTTCTCTAATTCAGGATGGGTTGTAACGATCGACGGGACATACACAGAGCCGGAGCTTGTCACCTAGTGGACCGTTGAGGACTATCAAGGACCGCTCTTCTCACGATTTCGATATTGCCTGGTGTTCGAACGGTACGGGCCAGGTACCGCTTCCTCTTCATCACAGATCCAACATTGAACTGACGACGGAATAAACGTTGTACGGTGACTACAGAATCATTGTTTCGGAAAAATTGCTCGACGGCAAACACACGATGCTCAGTTTTCCACGGTGCCATGGCTAAAACTGCATTGCCTGTGTTCTCTGCTGGCGGTGAGGCAAGGTCAACCTACTTCTCTTTGCGAAATACTATTCACTCAGAAAACATGCGTTTCCTCTGCGTCACCCTGTATTTTTTAGAACCTAAGAAATGAAAACAAAACTGTAACAAAGCCAAATCTATTGTTTCCATCAAGCGGGTTACGTTTTGTTCGAGTTTTGTTTTTGTCTTCGGTCCATTTCCACTGGTTGTCCACAGTTTTTCTTCCATAACCAACCAACATTTTTACAGAAGAAACTTTTTTATTCTTAGTTAAGGCTGGTTGATACTGAAGTCCTTGGAAACAGGTAAGTGTGTACATGCACGGTGTCTATAATAAACTAGCTGTATCTGTAACTATATGTGTCTATAAACTAGCCAAGTACATTTTTTTTTCTATTCGACACGAGGTTGTGTTTTGTTCTGGTTTTGTCCTTTTGATGGAAAATTGTCATAATATGTACTTTGTTAGTTTAAACGGCCGCTGTCCGTTCGAAATACTAGATTACAGCTAGTTACAACTAACAGTAGGATCCAAACAGTTCGCGCTAAATTTGGAAATGACAGTCCGTGACGATGTGTTCGAGAAAATGACTTTCTTTAACAAAAATTGTTGTTAGAAACACGTAAGATTTGGATCCGAATTTGAAATAATCAGATCCAACTTAACTTTTATAATAACAATCGCATTCTACCAATCGGGAAACTATGTGAGCATTTTTTCCCTATTTCTACTCGTGCATATATCATCTAACAATTTAGTAATAATAACGTCAGAAAACGGATATTACACAGCTGACTTTACATCTTTTATATTCCTTTTTAATGATTCTAGTGATGTCACTTGTAGCATCGGGTGTTTTTATTACTGCCAATCAATAATTACAAGGATATTAATTAGATAACTTTACCGTTTTGCGAATTACAGCATCAGATATACGAATAATGGAATATACCGGGGGTGTCCGAAAATATGACAAGGTAGCATATAGTACTCAAAGCTGTTCGAAATTGACTGATCTATAGTGTGCCGTTAGTTTTCACGGAAAAGTGTAACGAAGACCTTGAATTTGTCATAATGAGAGATGTTACATGAACTCACGAGATCAATGTGGGTTTCAATTGGCTGGTATGAATTATTTATTGAAAAACAGATCCTGCTGCTGAACTAGTTTACGAAATATTGCTGCTGGATGTCTACAAAGAAAAAATTATAAGCAGGTTACATAAATAAAGGTCAACGCTGTAAGCCAATCTAGACAATAAAGTATTATGTTCAGTCCTGATTTTAATCTCGTTTACCATATACCTGTATAGCTCGTCGGCGTTTGTTAGAGTGATCGTAACATAAAAATCATAGATATTTAGAATGAACATTTATATAACAAATGCCAATTTATTTCTTGAGTTCCACCAAAAGAAAGTAGAGTAAGCTTTGCTGGGGTCCTTACATTGAACATCTCATGGGAACAAGATTCTGAATGGCCTCGAGCTTTTTTCCTCCACAAAAGAATTGTGCTTTTCATTTTCGGCCTAAGGAACTATTGAGTGATGTCGCTATACATTCATTGAGAATTATTTATTAACAATTGTGGGAATATATCTTTTTAAATTCCTTGTATACATTAAGCAAAATTTAGCTACTTTTAAAAGGCGTTATGCACAATATAATGATACTCATGACAAGAAGTAGAAGAAGTCCGCCCAGGTATGCCGGAGTTGACTATTTTAACGTATTACCAGTTACATATATTGAAACACACGGATTCACTGCTAATATTTGAGAAAAACTTGAAAAATATTCTAGTTCGGAAAAGCTTTTATAACCTCTCAGATGTAAATAATCTTGATTTATAAATGCTCTTATATACAGGGAGTTCGTTTGAAAACTTCCCACCACGGATTTATCGAGAACCACTGATTCAAAACACGCCGAGACCTGTCAGAGGATTTGTCATGAGGGACCACTTTTTAAGCAAAAACTACTTCACCCCCTTTCACCCTCGGCCCCCAAGAGACATTCCCTCATAAAATTTTAAATGACAAGGGATATCGAGTAATGACTTGTTTGAAAGGTCTTTCAAAGTTCTTTATTTTGACGTTTGATTTTTGAAAATCAGTTGATTCGTTCTCGAGAAAATTATAAAAATCTTTATTTATCTTAATTTGTTCAGATAGAAAACAAAAATACACGAAAATATCACACAAGTGTTCAAAATGTTTTCCGTTAGGGTTTGAAAAATCTACAATTCGTTTATAATTTAAAACGAGAACTACCAACATAAACAGCAATTCGAAAGATTAGACGTGGCAACAACCAAATAACAATCCGAATTTCCCGCATTGTTTTTCATCAACACAGATGTTCTAGGCGAACTGTATTTATTGTAATACCTGTTTAGTTATTTGTTACTAAGGGAAAGAAAGAATTTAATTTGCTTTCAGTTACCTTTGTGACCATCTTGGGATAGTGAATATTAATTTATTGATTCAGATTTTACTTCCGAAATGGTTTACACACTAGCCGGAAGAGTGGTCATGATTCTAATTTATGGTCCACAAAATTAATGTTCTTGGCAAACTGCCGAAGATGATTTTGATAGGCGAGTTGACTGCAGCGATTAATCATAATACAATTCATGTACTCGTAAAGAATATCTGCTTCAGTGATCAAAGCACATTTTATCTAAATGGATTTGTTAATAAGCGTAACTGCAGGTATTGGAATATAATGAAAATCCTTATGCTCTTTAGAAGGGCATACCCAGTACCCCAAAAAATTAATGTATGGGCAGGCATTTTAGGAAACAAATTGATTGGGGGTTTGTGAATGGAAATTTGAATGGAGACTTTTATTTGATCAATAAGTTGAGAAAGTATGATCATTTGAGCACATAAGCACTTATTTTAGTGACATGAAATGGCTGAGAGTAAAGAACTCTATGAGTTACACTTAGGCACTAATACCCATAAGCTTTTATTCACAGACATTCCTCCATTTTTGAAGGATGAACTGATACCTAGGAGTTATATTCACACAAGAGAAATTCGATTTGCGGGACACTCACAATGCCTCTCCACAAGACAACCATCTTTCTTTCGTAAATGCTTCACATACAACGCAGATATTCTCAGTAACGAGCTTCCACAAGCTACAAAATTGCTAAGTTATGAAAAATTCGCCCATAATAAAGACGATTATTATTATTATATTTTCATTCTGCTTACCTACAGAGCCCCAATCTGGATGCGCTAGGTTATTGAACCATCCGTCATGTCGCTGGATTTCTATTCGACTCTGGAACTGATCTGTAAAGAATTTATTTCTGATCATTTTCTATTCTCGACCTTGCAGTACAGCAGATTGACCGAGTACTCCCCAGCATAAAAGTGCTAATAGCAACTATATTTGAGAAATATTACGTTAAAAAAAATAGGATTACAAGGCATGACTAAAGATTTTTTAATACACAAAAAACCTATTCATTAGTAGAAACCATTTTTACTTCATACACCTATTAATAAGGATGTATTGATATCGTCAAGAATTTAGGAAATGAAGCATTGTTTTTTTTTCTTGCTGTTATGCGTGCCCTTTTTGTCAGTCTGTCTGTATGTCTGTCGGTCTGCCTGTCCGCTAATCATTAGCCCGTGTATCACTTGAAAAGTGCCGGCCGCATTTTGATGAAATTTTCACACATTGTTACTACGGTGCCAAAAACAAAAAGCTTTGTAAAATCGATTCAGTGGCGAAGGAAAAAGTCCCAGATCCTGATCATTTTGACAAATCTTTACGGGTAAAAAGTTGTGGGCGACGGTTGTAGGGGGGGGTTGTTCGAAAGGGTTGGGTGGTTGTAGTGGTTGTAGGGGGTGGAGGAATGTGTATGGCAGTTTTTTATAGTAAAATACCAAAATTGATGATAGCAGCGAAACTCATCGTACGACACTGCTATTACGCGGATGCCTTTGAAAATGCGGCGCCTCTTTATGAAATGTTGGCAAACGTCACTGTAATCAAAAGGTACCACGTCAAAGCAGTGGCGCACGATGACTTCTGCTAGTGTCATCAATTCTGGTATTTGACTATATACATATATCACACATCGTAGATGACCCCCCCATACATTTGCACTTGACACTTAGGACGATAGAAAAATATTTTCGATGAGCGTCCCTGCGTGTGCTGACTTCCAACGCCAGCGGCAACCGTGCTGGTGTTCGTATGTGTCCTGCATGACTTGGTGTTCTACCGCGTGTGCATCATGCTTTCAGATATTGGGGTGAGGCGATGCGACGTTGCCATATAGCTGTTGTGGACTAACTACGCGGACCCGTTTGACGGACTTGCTCCATTTATTTTCTCGCTTATACATGCTCGTGACTAACTTTTTTCTTAGAGTAACCAACTTAATCAGGCTGCTTTCGTCGGTCCAGCCAAAGACGGCTTGTTTCGTGCTTTTTGACAACTCATCAGCATGGTCTAGGCTTTGCCTCTGGTGCTTTCTTACTTCGATAGGGTCTAACTTGTGCTGAACATAATCCTTTATGAACTGATGACGGCGTTGCGTGGGAAGTGCAAAGTGAACCTACTTCACGCTATTTTTTATGACCTCATGAGCTTGTCTACAGTTGAGACCATTACGGAAATCGGGCAAACTACTAAAGTCACTAAAGATATCATGGTGACGCCGTGTTATGGCCAGCTGATATTAACTCATCGAGCATTTAAGCAAGAGAAGAACCTATATGTCCATGTATCTCAAAACGATAAATTTGCGAAGTAGATGGTCATATACTTTCATTGCTTAATATTAGTTACAAGCAATGGTGATCTCCATTTGAAAAATGGCTTTTTTGGTTTTCAAAAATCAAATCGTTATGCCCTTTTTTGACCAGCCTCTACTATTTGTTATCTTAATCTGGAATAATATCCACTAAAGCAGATTCCCTACTACAAGAAACTTGTTACAAAACGTATAGCAAAGGCAAAAACGCGGGAAAAAATGTTACAATATTGACCTACATTTGTAATTTTTACGTATAATTTATCTCAAATACGGTTAGACTTAAGTATATGATGATATCTTCAAATACATTCAGAATCTCGAGTAGAATCCAAAAATTGAATAATGTATAGGGTCTTCTATTCAAAATAAGTCTGTGGGCATCTACTTCCGGTACAACCAGCCAGCAGTGCCATGACTTTGAAAATACCTAAGTTAAAATTGCTCCCATCAAATACACTTGAAACTCAAGTTTTTTAGGTTAAGTTTTTAAGTAATCGATCGTTCTACGTGTTATTTATTGTTTATTGGTAGATGCTACGACATTTTTGTCGCATATTCTAAATTTATGTTGTATATACGTATAATCTTGTATATATTAATAAACATAAATCATAGACATAAACAGTTTTATATGCAGAAAATAAAGTTCACTAGTAGTTGCTTCACCCGATCAAGTGACAAGACAACCTCGAGAGAAAATGATCGCTTAACTGCACACTTGCTCGCTGTGTAACACTAACCTAATTCTCTGCAACGAGAGACAGGTATAAATAGTTCCATATCCGTTAGCTGCAGTACTGCCGAGATGACGTCAGGATCCGGATTTCTTACGGATATAAATTATTACAGCATTTACGAAAGCGTTAACGCTTAGTGTTGGTTTTTGTCAAGTAGCGCTTGGTTTCCATTTTTTGTTTAGCCTTTAGCCGTATAACATTTAATAATAATAATATCGTCTTTATTAATATTAATTATTAATAAAGCTAAATAAGTGCGATTCGTTATGGGGAAGCCGATCTTACACTTAACCAAATGAATACAAAATAAAGATGGTAAAAGAGGTACAAAACAATAAAGTTTTTATTTTGCAATTTGATATTAGTATCCCAACCATTTAAGTAAAACATCAAACTATTCATTTAAATCCCTACAAACACAGCCAAAATGCTAAAAAAATAACTGACATGTGTACTATTAACAAACAAAACAATTAATGAAAAGAAAAATTTTGACGTACAACTGTGTAAATACAACCTGACATGCTAACGGAAATAAGTTAGTATCTAAAATGAAGCCAAGTATCTTAGAGTCATTACTAAATTGTGCTCTGATAGAATTTTTTGATGAAACACTTGGAGGATGCGATCACGTTTAGTATTAGAGCAGAATATGATTTTGGATTTTGAGGAATTTATCATTAGATTGTGTTTTATAGAATAGTTATTTTATTTCTTTATAGTGGGTAGCGTACCGCAAGGTTTTTATACCAAAGATCTTTTTTTTTGAAGGCATTTATTTCGTATATCATTCATGACGTAACCGCCAAAAAGCATGAAAAGAACTATACATTTGTACCTATGTACATGTACAACCGAGCAAGTAGGAATCTACTATTGGTTCCTTGACCTATTTTCATCCTCATGTACCTTGCTCAGCATCATCTATTAGTTAAATAACAACCCTCTTGCTCTCCATTACATGCGCGGCAAAATTGTCAACAGTAAGCCTCTCGCCGAGCGTTAATTCCAGCTGTTTCTGGTATTCAACTCATCTACCATATTCGAGTAGTTGATTAGGAATATCCTATTCAATGTTGCAATATACACATGTCGTGTACTCTGTCTCTATCTCTGTCACCCTCTTCAGGTAGCTGTCAAAACAATCATGTCCTGTAAGAAACTATGCAATGATCTAGCTGCTACGCTCCCTTCTAAATCCATTTTTAATATCTGGAATCAACCTTCTAGTTCATGCAAGCTACCGAAGTATCAGTGGTATCAATGATACGGGGCCCCCAGCTTAAAGGGATTCCCGACAAGGAAGGAAAGTTCTCAATCTCACGTAAGCTTTTAGGGCGCCTATGGTCAAATTATTCAATGCAAGCGTTTATGTTTCTTTTGCAAAAATTTATACTTAAAATCTAAGCCTCCATTTGGGACTCGCCACAATTGGGTTGCCCCCCGTACGAATTTTTATGAGGCACCCGAGGAGCAAGCTATGCCACTGAGTCCATGCACGATGGCCAGATGCATAGTAGTGGTATCATAGGCAAACTGTACTACGGTCCAATATGCCTAAACTAAAAGCTATAGGATGGGCAGCACTTACGTCCACCTTGACTTTCATTAATAATTGTTGTTGCGGTACTAACTGCTGACGGCGACAACAGGATTCGGATTTCTCACAGATGCTACTGCAGCAAATATAAAGCTCGTTTATTTTTGTCACTCGCTACCATAATCGGTTTCTCTGATGGGATGACTGTAAATCCCAAGGGGAGTGACGAGAATTCCCATATGTGTCACTGTGAATGTTTGTTATTCTTTTTAATGAATTTACCGGTTGCATTTTTTGGAATACGGATACTCTATGCTCATTGGTACCGTTTGGGGAAAACCGCAAACTATAAATTTTGTGCAGTGTCTCCAGTATCATAATTTCAAAAGAATCTTTCTAAAGAACACGTATACAGTTCTACTGTGTATACCGGGTGTTTCAAATTCGACTATTTACTATTTTATTCCGAGTATTTCCGGAGATAGAAGAAGGAAACCAAATTTTTCCAAAATCGTTTTTATTTTTGCCTGGCTTGACTTGAAATGGGATTTCAAAATAAAAAATACATAACATTGCCAGTCCTTCTCGTCTACAGGATGACGTAATTAGAATTTCAATATGACGTTTCATCTTGTGCTCAACCATCAACTTTATTTTTTCTTATAGACGTCATAATGGATTTTTGCACAGGTCAATGGATTTTAATTATAATCCCACTTGTCTCACTTGAACTATAGTATCATTGGATTGAGAGCTATGGCCCCAAGATACCTCATAAATCTCGAATGTGTAGAAAAATACATACTTAAATTGATATACAAAAAAAGACCTATCCCTTCCAATGTGTGGTTGGTTGAGGCTAAAGTTTTTGACATCAAACAGTTATATATTTATGTACAGTCTTATTACTCTTCCGTATAAAAGCAGGTCTTCATTGAGTCAAATTGAACACTGCTGCTGTCATTCAAAGACCCTGGATTTTTCTTTGTCCAGTGATATAAAGTACAATCCCAGCCTCTGACAAAAAAGAAGCAATTTGAATTCATTTAAGAAACAAATAAAAGCTTGGCTCCACGAAGTCCCCAGAGAAAAATTCATATGTATACAGGGTGTTTCAGAACTATGGGATGAAACTTGTAGGTGTTATTCAGTGTAACAGTAGAAAACATTTGAGTATAGGGACCCATATCCGGAAAATAGTCACTACGGCACTACGGCCCTAAGATGCGTTAAAGTTTAGAACGACGATGAATAGCCTAAATAGGATTTAATGCATTTAATTTTTGCCTTTTATACATGATATCATCACAACAATTGTTCAAAATGTCTTCCTCCAACCTGAAAACGCCGATTTAAACGTCGCACATGATTTCGGCGGACTTGACTAAAAATTTCATAATCGTTTTGAATGATTTCAAATGTTGCTGTAATTCGTCCAATTAAGTCTTGCTCTGTTTCTACTGGAGTTTCGTAAACCAAAGACTTTACATGTCCCCACAGGGGCCTCCTAGGTCACCCGATTTAACGGCGCTAGATTTTTTCCTGTTATTACTATACATTGACTTTGTCAAACCTAAGTTATTTAAAAAAACTAATATTTAGTCGCTAAATAACACCTCAGGCGTAGATTATTAGTAGGTATTTAAAAGTAAGATGAGTGGGTCATTTTAGATATGGCACATTATAACACGTGTTCAAGAGGCTGCTACCTAGCCAAGACTATTATTTACCCCAAAACGTTTCCATTAATTGCAAATACAGTTTTCAATGCGATCTTTAACGAATATAAAAATGTTTTAGCATTAGGTTATCCTTTATTCCAGAAATTTAGATTAACTATAGGAATATTACTTTTTTAGACATTCGAGGTCTTATAATACCAATCCATGTCATGATATGTACAATATCACGTCATTGAAATCGGAAATACAAACTATTCACCTATGCCTAGTTATAAAACTGAGTGATATTATGAAACAAATGACTAAATGGTAATTTCAAGAAATTCTGTTTTTTGAAATAACTATAAGGTTTGGCAGTGACAATATATGGCATACAATACATTTTAGAATCAGGATTAAATACTCTGTGTGCTAAAGTCCAATATGGTGTCTATAAGAAAAAATAAAGTTGATGAAGGAGGACTAGAGATGGAACATCATATTGAAATTCTAATTATACCATCTTGTAGAGGAGAAAAACTGGCAATGTAAATGTACTTTTTATTTTTGACTACCACTCCAAAAAAAATTAGAAAAAAATAAAAACGATTTTTGGAATATTCGTTTTTTTCATCTCCGAAAATACTCGGAAATGTGAAAGTTTCTAAGTGTCATTTTTTTAGTTACCTAAATGCACAACTTTGCCCGTATTGACACGACTTCGTATCTCTTACCGTTGAGAGTCGACTTTTGAACACCCTGTATATTCACTCACGACTTTGTTGAAAAAACAGTAATTAAACGTATGTGATTTTAAGCGATATAATATAACTTAAAAGATATATTAACATACCACCTCATGCAGTTGCATAATATGTGATCAATTAAAATTTCATCATCGTACATAGATATCACTTCAACTAAGTACATGCTGTTCAATTTATCACACCTGAATGTATTTGTTGTACATTTTCTTTAAATTGTACAAATCCTACAGCATAAACTCACTGATCTTTGCCAAATTTCCTAAAACAATTTTTTGTTAGCTACACCGACACCGCTTCTTTATGAAGCCCAAATGAGCGCCCATATAACAAAATTCTGAGACGGGCAGGTTAGGCTTACAGACCCAGTCAACCAGTTTGAAGTAGGGTTGGTAGCTGTTTAAAGCGGTGGGAGAAAATTCTAGATAGGGCTGTTTTGAGGACTAAAAAGACACTCGCGATCGATGACTCTTTTCTAGCGGACAGTCTCGGGACCCTTTCGCACCGACTCATCTGCCGTCGAGGATGCAGCTCTCTTATACCGCTATGTCAACGGACTTTGCTCCACAGAGCTCTCCTCAAGGACACCACCAAGCGGTGTGCCTTCCAGACAGACCCGCCTGACTTCGACCTTCCATCATAACCGTGTCAAACTTCGTACATCCAGAGCTGGCGGATACGACCGCTCCTTTGTCCCTAGGGTAGCGAGATTGCGAAACAATCTATCTGTGGAGACTTTTTCCATTTATGGTATACTAACCTTAGGCAGTTCACAAATTTGATTAACAAAGTTTCTTCAAGCTCCCCATAGCAGCCGCGGTGCCCTGGTATTTAGGCTTCTCCCTACTAGGCTGATTAGGCATAAAAAATTACTCTTTAAACCGCAGCCATTGGGCATATGTCCCTCCCCCCTTGCCCCTCTTATGGGCGGCCATGTACACTAGCAGAATAAACGAATCAATGTGAAATTCCAAGTACATATTATAATACCATCAAAGACATCGAGCCAGGAAGTCTCGATTCACTCTATTTAAAAAATTTCATCAGCTTCCTCCAAGATATTTGAAAGGAGCTTGCACAATGGTTGCTATTTTCGTTCTCATCACTTTCGAAGATGAAGGCTACATTTACTTAAACAATCGAGTTTATTAACATTACGTTGACGCCAATGTTATTTTAAGTAATTATACATAAATCTTTTTCAGACTTCCCCATTTATTTCAGTAAGAGATGTCTACAAGGGGCGTACCTAAGTCGGACTTTGGGCTCAAGGGTAAGTAGAAAAGTCCCGCGTCTGAAGTGTATGAACGTGTTACGTTCAAATCTACGAGCCAGTGAGCCATCTCTATAAAGCTTTAATTTTTGTTCATGATTTCATATTTGACGTTATGCACCAATTAAAAAATTAAAGGACATTTTTCTTCAAAAACAAGTTAACCCGTGCAGCAAGTTGAACGTATAAGACCTCATTTTGAAGCTCTTCTCATCAGTGGACCACTTGCAGAAATACCACATAGCTTTTTGAACAGTAACGTCACGACATACTGCTACAGGAGAAATCTATCTATATTTTAGCAATATTTGGATATTAGGGGTACATACCACTGTAACGTTCTGCGATGCTTTTTTATTTTTTTAATTTCGTTTTACCTTCGATTTTTGTTACGCCATCTATGATGCTTCTCTGAATACTTTGTCAAGTAGATTGACTCAGTACTTATGACGCATTAATATACAACAGACATGGACTGACAAACCGACAAATGAGAAACGCGGACTTGTGTGAGGCACATATCTTCAAGCAACAGAAAACTTGTGAACCGAAGTTCGAATAATTTCGCGAGTTTAATACTTTCTTCGTTTAGATAGTCGTAGATTTTGAAAACTGATTCAGAGCCGACGGAAATGAAATCACTGGAACAAAGTGTTACAACGTCTCAGACATTCCTGCTCATGTTCAGACAGTGTTTGGAGGGGATGAAAGTTGTACATTGCAACCTGTATGCGGTAAATGGTTGTAAATTGTTGCATATTTGGTGTCAGTCAGCGATGCTATGCACCTGTTAGACATAATAAGTTACCCATATTTACCCCACATCTACCGTTGAAACAGAAATATGATAGACTTGCTTTATATAGTTTGAAATGCAGAAGTCAAAGATGTATCGTACCTAAATGAACTTTTTGGTTTTAATTTGACTCATCCCTTTTCTTGAAACCTCCAACGAAGGCGTAGGAAGTAGAGAGGGAGATACTCGTATGTAGGGGAGACTCGGGCAAAAGGAACCACCTTAAGTTGCCAGCTTTTAAAATCTTCTATTAAATCCTAATTATTAGTTTTTTAATTTGAAATAAAACTCTATTACATTTAGAAACAAAATATAAATTATAAAAATGTATAATTATAGTAATATATCTTAAAAAAAACATTAAACGAAAACATGCTTTTGATTCTTTTTGCCCACATATGAGGGCAATAAGAACCAACGCCTCGGGCAAAAGTAATCAGCGTATGAAATACATGTGAGCAAGAAGAACTTTATTTCAAACCTAACTAAAAGAGGAAGTATATTAACAGTTATTTATTTCAAGGAAATCAAAACTGATAACTTGCATTTGTCGCAAATATAGATACCTCTGTTGTAATCAGCACATAATTGATGAGCCAAGTTTTGACACATATTGCATTTAATCCATGTTTCGACAGACTTAGAGTTGCCAAAAATATCTCCGCAGACGTGGCATGGTACATTATATTATTTAAATAATCAAAAAATAACTGCACTTGGTGCCTGTTAAATCCACAAGCCCGGGCAATGCTTGTAGGTTATGGAGTTCTAAGGCTTAATTCGAGATATCGCTTCATAACATTTGAGTACTCGTACCATTGCTCCCCAGCTGTTCCATTACGAAAATGATGTGGCAAATTATTTCGATTTGCTTATCTGGATGGGTATCAAATCAAACACTGGAGAACTACAGTATATGCCAGAAGTAAATATAAAATAGTGGCGGGAATTTTGAAATATTTTTTTTCAACTGACTCCTTTTGCCCTTATGGTTCTTTTTGCCCGAGTCTCCCCTACTTGACGCCCGTTTTTTCGAAAGGTCTAGATATCCTGGTCTACTGGAACCTCAACCTCTTAAGACGTGTTAAAGAAATATGAAATTTACTGAATCTCATTTTCTGTGACCAAAAAACATTAAAGTAATTTGAAAATGGTATCAAATCAATGCATAAAAACTACTAAGCCAATCTACTATATTCTGTTTTTATAATTATTTTTATTCTGTTTCTGTATTGCACTATGAATATTGATTGGCAACTGAGAACGCATAGCGGATCTATAACAGATTGTGAGAAGTTCGGTTAATTTGAATAGACAATTTTGATGAAATGCAAATTAAGTGTATAACTATTGATAATTTGTGCGTGGGATGTGGGAGGCAAGAAACACTTGTGGACAGGTGATCATGCATTAAATAGGAAATGAGTTATTGCATATATCAATCTATGACGAAAAGTATGACGAAAAATTACCAGTATAATAAATTCTCCTAATTACAGAATTATGACGAATGGTTTATCCATTTTTGTAGCAACAAGAGGTTTTAAAATATGAGTTATAGGAGTTTTTAAGAGGTAACGGTCTAAAAAGAGAATTCTTTCTTTTTTTTCTATTAAGAAATAGTGTTAAGATAATGATATTAATTAATGATATTTAAGTAACAAAAAGAAAAATGTCACAAAGAAATATTCAAAGATGGCAGCACCGCAGTGTTTTTCTCAAAAGGCGATTTTTCAAAACAGTACGCAGCATAACTCGATCAAATATAATTCTTTTCATTCGAATTTTTCACAATATCTTTAAAATAATATTTAGAAGAGAAATACGTAGGGGACATTCGATAAGTTGATTCAATCATTATTTACTAACACATTACTACCTTTTTTCGTCTACAATTGAACGGTTTAATTCAAATACTAGCCAACGATACAAACATAAATATTTTGAAATTTTCTGTGTGATGTTTTAGCTACAAATATGAACAATATGTTGTTTTTCCTTTCTCCTAGATCCAAATTTGTAGCAGCACTGAGTATTTATTCATAATATTTTTTTTTGTTAGTTAGTAAAATGCTCAATAACTTCCTACAGTACTATTATTTTATTGCATTTTCTTCCACAGAAAAGACATGACAAAGAAATCACTTTTTTAAGTCCATTACAGTGGTGTTATCCCTTAAGTGAAACATGAGGAGTTTGTTTTGTTAGATCAGAGTTTCTCAAACTTATTTCGTCTACTGCCTGTTTTAAGAATCAATTATCATCTAGCGCCCCCCGAAATTGTTCAGGAGTCTGCGATTGAAAGTTGCAGATCGGGAGTCAAGACGCCTACTTCGAGACTGCCCTAGATTATTCTCTATACACTCTATAGAATCATCCCGAGGTATTAGTTGGAAATTGTATAAATAGTCGGACTCAATAAGAAACAACAGTAGATGAGCCTTTATTTATATATATTGAACAAACGGTTTTCGTGTATAAGGAGGCTTCGCAAAAAATCAGAATCGTTCAAACCTCATATTTAGATAATCCCTTATGTTCTTCTGGCCGAATCGTACCACATATAAAATAAATACGTTGTAAAATAATTAGTAATTGTACTCAAAGAAGGTCAACGTAGTAACCAAAACGTCCTATAATAAACAGGAATTCTAAACACATGGGATTTGATTCGGCCAGTCAAACTTGGAGCATGATCAACATGAAAACCACAGGATAAGTTTCAGGTGTTACGTGCATATTTAGGCATTTTAATGATTCTTAGTTGTATTTAGAATATTTTGGGACGGGTTGGAATTTGGGGTGGGGTGTAGGTACAGAGGCAACTACAATCCTATTCAATGTCCGCAGTTATTCATTATTTCGAGGAGCTTTCAGAACATCTAGAATTTGTTTCTGTGTACATAATTTCTGAGGTTATTCAGATAAAACATTTCCAAGGTCCAAAGTGATGAAAAAATGCAAACATTTATACTTGAGCGCCTATCAAGTTTTTGATTAATCCAAGGCATAGCCAAATGTTAGTCTTTTATTTTGAAGTAAATTTTATTTATTATAAGTTGCACGTTTTTCGACCCATTTCTAGATGTTTGTTGGTGTGAAAATTTTTTTTTAGTGTTTCGTATTTTAGAATCATGATTAATTCATAATCTTGCAACGCCCGAATACGCTTCAAACATTAGAGCAAAAAAAGCTCACAAGCTTAAATCTTCGAACATAAAATACTGACCTTACTCAAGAACCGCACATACTGTAAAAGCTGTGACAAGCACACAAAAAGCAAAACAGCACGCTATTCATATTTCACAAAATAATTTATCGGAAATATTTTTTGCATCCAGGAGCTTTCCGGATATTTAGAATTTCTTCCTGTGTACATACATTCAAAGGTATTCAGATAAAACATTCCTAGCGGTCCAAGGTGATTAAAAAATACATAAACATATTTTTGAGCGTCTTTCAAGTTTTTGATTATTCCAAGACGTAATCAAATGTTAAATAAACTTTCATTTTAAATTGAATCTCATTTATCATAAGTTGCGGATTTCTTGTTTTTGTGTTTCGTATTTTAGAATCATGTCAGTATGACATCGGGATACGCTAAATTCAAACGTTAGAGCAGAGAAACTCACAAGCTCAAATCTTCGAACTTAAAATACTGACCTGACCCAGGAATCCCGCATACTGTGACAACTGGGACAAGCGCAAAGACAACAAACCCGCGCGCTGCGATAATCAGATTTCAGATTATTTTTGATTCCAAGAGCTTTCAAGATAATTAGAATTTGTTTCTGTGTAGTGTAGGTCATTCAAATAAAACATTCCTATCGGTCTGAGGTGATGAAAAAATACAAAAAAATATGTTTGAGCGTCTTTCAAGTTTTTGACCAATCCAAGGCGTAGTCAAACTTTCATTTTAAATTGAATGTCATTTATTATTGTTAAGTTGCGCATCTTGATACCCGAAAAATATTTTTGAGCGTTTTTCAAGTTCTTGGCCATTCCAAGGCTGGGCCATTCAAATGTCAGTTGAACTTTTATCTTACCATAAATTGAATTTCATTTGTTTTAATCTGCGGATTTTTTCACATCAATAATAATTTTGACGTGGAACCTTTTGGTTTTTCTAGAGTTCTATGGTTTCGATTTGATGTTTCGTATTTCACAATCATGGTTAATTCATAACGGTTCAACATCCGGATACGCTAAATTCAAACATTATAGGCAAACACTAGCCCACAAGCTTAAATCTTTGAACTTAAAATACTGACCTGACTCAAGAATCGCACATATTGAAAAAACTGGAACAAGCACACAAAGAGCGAACCCGAACGCTGCGATATTCATATTTCGCAAAATAACTTATCAGAAATGAGATAAAAGGCGGACATTTCGGCCCACATAGCACTCGCGTTAGCGGTTAGCGACACTCATGGGAATTCCCGAAAAAAACTTTATATTCATTCATGGGCCTAAGTGGAATGAACTGAGGAATAATAAATCCGTTGACGGCTTGCGTTAATACTACCAGATGTATCGACGCTGTGTTGGACGCTCGTCGCGAACTTGTGAAGAGAAAGTAGAATAAGACGCGGTGGTAACCATGGTTTACCTCATGGGGGGTCATGGGCGAAGCGTATGGATTCTGGGATTTCTATATCCTTTTGGGGCACTGCTTAAAGCACTCACTAAGAAAAAACTCAATTGAACCAATATAAATTGTAGCTAGGCCAATAACAACATTTGATCAACTTTTTGAGAGCTGATAAGCTAATTAAACTCCGTTTACCGGATACAAGTAAATCAAATTAGTTATATTTATTAAATTTGTTTCATTGGCTTAGGTAAAAGTATTTGCCTAGTTTTAATGGATTATTTTATTTAGATTTGGAATACAAAAGAACAAATTGTATTTTACTGAATGATGTATACATATATTGAGCCGTATTCATAAAACAAAGGATATCCTTGTACTTGCAAATTTTGAAGAAAACCCTCCAGATGGTATTTATAATAATTTGAAGTAAATGTTTTTGCTTTTTGAGTATAAGCATATCCTTCAAAGCAGTGACATAAGTAAAAGGATATTCATAATCTTCACCTTATACTTGGAATAGGAAATATCCTTCAAAAATTCTCAGTGTGGTCAGTAGCAGACTCAACTTCGTAACGAAAGGTGGTCAAACGATGATGGCGGAAATTGTGGATGTTAGGGACGTTAAAACGTACAAACCTCGTTTACCATCACTTTTTCGTGACCTCAAAAAATTATATCGCTTCGACGAAGCAAATGTACAATAGGTTGCGGACAGATTTTTAGTTGAGAATGAGGAAACCCGAGGAGGAGCACCTTCATGTATTCATAAAGTGAAGATATGTCTACGATATCTCGGTGACCCTGGATATCAACAAGGTATTGGTCAGGAACTTGGTGTTAGTCAATCAACGGTATCTCGGGCTGTGGATAGAGTTGTGAACAGCATAGTTGCACAGTCGAACGAATGCATCAAGTTTCCAACTGACAACCATGAACTGATGGAGGCCAAGCGGATATGGCAAAGCATCTATAAATTACCGACAGCAATTGGTGATTGTACACTTATAGGAATCCTGAAACCAAATCGCCATGGAGATGAGTGTATCAACCGAAAAGGGAAACCTACTTTAAATGTGCAAGCGACTTTTGTGATGCCAGAGAGATGTTCACAAGTGTTGATGTCAGTTGGCCTGGATCAGTGTATGATTACAGAATATGGAGAAATTCACAGACTAGATCACAACTAATAAATAAAGCAAATGTTGTACTACTTGGCGATGACGGTTATGGTATTGAGCCATGCCATATGACTCCCTTCAGAAATCCTACTCCAGGTGCAGAAAAATTATAATAAGCTTTCAAAACAAGAAAGAGTTATAATTGAACGCTGTTTCGGCCAACTAAAACGTCGGTTTCCTATCCTACAGTATGTTTGCCGGGTAAAGTTGGAAAATGTACCGAAAATAATTATTGCTTGTATTGTACTCCATAATGTTGCGAAGAGCTTGGGCGATCCTGACTTTGAGTTAGTCGAACAAGATCCAGAACAAGATGAAGAAAATCATGAGAATGACGAACTTCCTCTCCGCCAACTAGGTCAACAAATAAGAAGAAACTTGAGTATTATAATAAATAGTTTTACTGACTAAAGTGTGTATTTATAAGTTATAATAAGTTTTATTTTCGTGAACATCATAAGTTACAGGTGGCTTCTGACGCTGCATCATTTCTAATTTCGTTTTATAATACTCTTGTTGTAAAATACTTGTTTGGTACTGCTGTAATAGCACTAGACGTTGCAGTTCTTTTGTAGTTAACCCTTTGGTTTCCTCAGTTTTGTATTTCTCTGTTGCTAATTTTCTTTTTGGTGGCAATGTATTATGAATTACTGGTGCTGTAATACTAACTGTTTGCTCACTCCACTCGGTATATAGTTCACTTCCTTCTTCTTGAACACTACCAACCTAAATGGCACCTCTAATTTTCCCAATTGTAGGATTACAATCACCTTCGGTAGCTTTCAGCAACTTTCTTTCCCAATCTAACAATTTAATTGTTTTATTACCAGTTTTTTTAGATCTGTTTTTTTTTCTTCAATCTTGATTTCATGTTGTTGATTTTTTTTAATAAGCCTTTAGTATCTAATGGTTTACCGAATGTAGATTCGTATTTTTTCAACATCTTCTTCAAGGCATCGTCCTTTCTCATTTTTATTTTTGGAACTTGTGACTTTTGCAAAATAATGGGAGCAATGGCAATTTCATCTGCGATGAACTGCAGGTCGTTGCCATTATTTTCTATAGTTTCCTCATCACTTGAGGATGACATGCTTATTAATTTGATAAAAAACTGTATCCAGTAAAAATACGGAACGGTCTGTGTAAGGTCTGGAGTACAACTGTCAGTGATGCTGAGTGAACGAACTCCCACGTCAACTACAAGCTGGAACAAGTCCGGACATGCCGCTCAAGATACAAATACCAGTCAACCTTTTACTTCTTCTTGGAGGATATTCTCGCGAGTATAAGGTAATCATTATGAATTTGAAAACAAGGATATGCTTATACCTCTACCTTTTTCTCCGAAGCAAGACCTTATACTTTTACCTTATGCTTCCGAGGATATGCTTCTCTTTTACGAATACGGCTCATTATGAAAAAAATGGAAAATATTGATATGAAAGTTTAAAAGCTATAACTGTGCTACGACAAATCTAAGATATGAAAAAAATGGAAAATACTGATATGAAAGTTTTTTAATCAAAATGAAAGCTTCCGAATTCTGTAACCCTAACAAATACGATATATTTCATTTTCTTTGATTGTGAAGATATCTATGGGATTATGTTTTACCAACTCTTTGTCCAGAAACAGGTTATAATATATCACCATTCACTAGAAGCTTTTTTTGTTTTAAATTCAGAAAGAATGGAAAGGTATACCTGAGACTGAAAAAGGTTACTTTTGATCATGTGCACAAAAATTGTACTTTAATCAAGGGCAGTTTCAGGATTTCATCTAGGGGGGGCGCAAACGATATTTGGGGCTGGTCATTTTTTAACATCAGTGGAACTTCTAGAATTTATCCTATTATTGCTCCTTAAATCCATTATGTTCTATCTGGTCAAGGACAGCTTGAAAAAAAAACATGGAAATTGCTCAGAAATCCTCAGAAAGCCAATATTTTGTTATATGAGAAAAAAATAAGTACGTGGCATTTATAATTAACTCGGGTAATAATATTAAAGATTCAAACATAAAAAACTTGATTGCTCTGTTAACCGACAAAAAATAAATAAAACATTCTGAGGACCCCGAGACATATCCCAGTCCATTCCACACAAAGCAATGTCTTTGATTGCGAAAACGAACATGAGACCAAAAAATTCACATTATCGTATGGACGCTAGACAAGACAAAGAAGGATGTCTGTAGTTCATCTATAGATCGTGTCTTGAGACGTCTCCAGACTGCCTATAGACAAATTGCGCAACGGGGTCTTCTAGTATGTAATAAGGATTAAGACTCTGAACTGCCCATTAAACAAATCAAGTAAGTGGTGCAAATACTGACACAATCAAGCAGTTCTATTATATCAGCAGTATGACGCATGTATTCCTCCATTCCGACGAAGTTAATTTCGGTTATTGAAGAACTGACAGCCGACGCATCCGCGTCAGTGTAACAGACATTTCTCCAAGGAAAGCTAGAGAAGAAGTCTCTAAGCCTCTCCCAGTCGGCATGTCCGTAATGCCAAATTTTGCGGCCTGCGCGAGTTTCTGCTGAAACAGCGGGTTCTGACCGAAACCTAACCTCCTATGAATTTGATCCTCCCGCCTTACTAGTTAATGTTATTTTCTGAATAAATCATGGCCTTCTTAGAAAAAACTAATGTACAATAATATTACGTGTAATGATATTTCGGTGATACTCCAATCTTTTATGCATTTGTGAGACATCACTAGACTGGAAATTTTACACTCTTGTCAAAGAGTGAGAAAAATGAAAGTTTAGGCGGCTTGCTGGAAAACAAAAGACCAATGAGACATGTAATAAATGCTATCTTACTTGTCTTAAAAGATTGTCCGATTAATGTTACATTTTGACAGCTGTCAAATTAACCGTTTTGGATTTACTGGCAAAAAACAAATTCCGACATTTTCTGTTTTTCGCTGATATTTTCAAAACCAATTGACCGCCCGTAAATCTGAATCCAGCTATCGAAAGCGCTAAGTTTCCTCTAAAACTTTCCCCGTTTAACCTTTGCTGTATGTATAACAGGAGCCGAGATCCCTGTATAGAGAAGCGAGTCTGGGACACACTGTATATAGCAAGTGGACCCTGCTATTGGTGTAAGCTTTGTAGAATTTGAAAATATTCTAGTTTGTTTAAAGTACTGTCGAATTTATTTATATACTCGTTAAATCCGGGTGAATGCAATATTGTTTTATTATTGTCTAGAAATAAAAATACAATTCTTGGTCACGCCTTATTTAGTTTCAGGTATCCCCGTTCCAAACTTCCTGTCTCTGTACAAACCGACAAATAACTGTTCAAGCTTGATCCCATATATAATAAGTTCACAATCAATGAAAATGAAAAGTCGAATTTTGTTAGTTTATAAAATTGGGAAGTTTTTATGTTGAACTATCAGTATCAAGCTCTCCAAATTTTTTGATATCGAAGATTTGTCAGAACACAGTTATAATATATACTAAGTGACATATAAATCCGAACATCCAGTTTAAATGGTTTTATTTTAATAAAATTTTGTATGAGTACTTAATGAAGCATAATAAGTAAATGATAAAAATTTCAAAATGATTGCACTGCTTTCAAGCCCTTTGACCTTTAATAATGTGTGGATGCATCCTGATGTGCTACACATTCTCCAACGCGCCTAGGCATGCTTCTGATCAGGTGGTCGATGTCCTCCTGCGGTATCTCATTCCAGGCAACCACCAACTCCTCTCGAAGTGCTTCTAGAGTCTGAGGAGGACGTTGCAAATTGAGCAATCTCCCATCTCCCATCATATCCCACACGTGCTCAATTGGGGATAAGTCGGGAGATCTTGGTGGCCATGGTAACAATGTGACATCATTATGTTGAAAGAAGTCTATTGTGACTCTTGCAACATATGGTCGGGCATTATCTTGTTGGAAAGTTGGATCTGCCAGGGTGTCAAGATAGGGTAAAAGATGGGGTTCTAGAACTTCGTGGATATAACGCTGCGCGTTCATGTTACCTCTGATGAAGATTAAAGGTGACCTGGAACCATAAACTATAGCACCCCAAACCATAACTCCAACAGTGTTATGAACATGTCTTTCAACAAAAAACTGTGGATTACTCCTTTCACCACGTCGCCTTCTAACCCTGGCACGACCATCGTGCATGCCTAAACAAAATCGAGACTCGTCACTAAAGACAATACTGTTCCATTCCTGATCCCAGAGTGACCGTTGTCTGCACCACTCAAGGCGATTACGTCGGTGTTCTCGAGTTAAAGGGAGGACCCAGTGTGGCCGGTTTGAAAACAAGCCAAAACTTTTCATTCGTCGGTAAACACTTCGCATGCCAATAGGTCTTCCGTGTTCTGCAAACCATTCATTTGCAATGGACCTGGTAGTGGAGAAACGGTCCCTTAAGGCCAATAATCTTAGGCGGCGATCTTCACGGTCTGTTGTTCTACGGCGGCGTCCAGTGCCCCTTGCTCTTTGCGTACGGCCTTCTCGAAGCCATGCCTGACAACACCTAACCACAGTGTCTACACTTCTTTGCACTCTAACTGCAATTGCCCGAAAAGAAAGTCCAGCTTCCCGAAGTCCCACTATACGGCCCCTATCAAACTCACTAAGTTGACGAAATCGTACAGGTCTCCGTACTCTAGGCATCGTTACCGATCGTAAAGGATGTCAAGAACCAAAATCCGCCAACGTTGATTCTTTACTGCGGCTGAAATATTCATTTTTAGAGCGTTAGTGAATTAAAAAAAGCAGTATAAAAACCGGAATGTCCAACTGATAAGGCTGAAAATTTTTTCACTTGTTATTTACAGTAAGATAAATACATTCACCAACTTTTATTAAAATAAAACCATTTAAACTGGGTGTTCGGGTTTATATGTCACTTAGTATACATCATTCTGTAAAATGCAATTTGTTTTTTTTTTCAGATATTATCCAAATATCCTTTTAAATCCAATTAAATAATTCATTACAACTAGGTAAACACTTTTATCCAAACT